GACTTGTAAATAGGAACTGGAATTGTATTTACATATCAAAGACCACTAGGGATGAGATAATGGCTAAAAAGGATATAAAAAGGGAAATGCTGAACGAAGGGCCCGGATATTGACCAGACTGGTTTCTGGCATTCCCGTCTGCTCGCGAGAAGAAATTTTATTATTTTATCCAAATTCTGTGTCTCTGTGTATTTCTTTCCGAGATTTCTGCAACAGGGTGAGTGATGCTGAGATCTAAGATGTGATGCTGGGATTGATTCATGGTGTGATGCTAAGATTTAGGCTGTGAGTGCTACCTGCCATAAGGGTGAGTAGCCTGGATAATATATAAGGGAAAGAAGAGGGTCACTGCTTATCACTTGTCACTTATTGCTTTTTGGCTACTTCACTGTTTTGTTGCTTTCTGCCCACCATGAACTGTTTCTTCTGGGTGATGCCCGTTTGCCATGAAACCCTGCCTTGGAGACTGTTTCTTCTGGGTGATGCCCGTTTGCCATGAAACCCTGCCTTGGAGCCAGGCAACTATGAACTGAAATCTCTACAAACTGTGAGCTAAATAAACCTTTCCTCCTTTATCTATGTATCAGGTATTTTGTCTCAGCAATGAAACTAAGATACTGGGGCAGGTGGGACAGCAGACCACCCTGTGCTCCCCCAGGAACATGGATTGTATTGGCTTTGCCAGAGGTCAGTGTAGGGAGAGGATGGTCACACTTTTCCTAGATATTCCATTTCTAGAATTTATTCTGGACATGCAACCTGAAATAGGTCCAATGAATCACACATAAGAATATTCAATAGACATTATTTATTTTGATTTTTTAAAAATGGATTTTGGTTGTTGTTTTGGTTTAGTTTGGTTTTTTGAGATAGTGTCTCACTATATAATTCTTGCTGGCCTTGAACTCACTACGTATCCCAGGCTGGCTCAAACTGGTGACGATCTTCTTGCCTCAGCCTCCCAAGTGCTGGGATAATAGTTATGTGCCACCATGTCCAGTGATTTTTTAAAATGGAGACAAACCAACATTTCAAAATTGGAGATTATATAACATGTGATACATATGTGAGTTTATAATTTAGGGATAGGAAAACTATTGTCCATGGACCAAACCCACCAAACTAATTTTCCCATCAACTGTCCAGAGACTTGAAAGAACAATATTTCTGGAATTTGTTCTTTTGTTTGTTTAGTTTTGGTACCAGGGATCAAACTCAGGACCTTGTACTTTCGAGGCGGGCACTATGCCATTGAGCTAAATCCCCAGCCCTGGAATTTGTTCTTGATAAACTTATTTTTATTATAAGCTAACCTATCCTTGTATTCAAGATGCTTTGTGTTTGTTTTTTAATGGTACTGAAGACAGAACCTAGGGCCTGGCACATGCTAGGCAAGCACTCTGCCACTATGTTATATCACCAGCCCCTGTCTACTGGCTTTGTCAATAAAGTTTTATTGCAACACAGCCACATCCATTTTCTTAGATGTTGTCAATAGCTGCTTTTGCTGGACCAGCAGAGTTGAGTAGTTCTGACAGAAGTATATCCATCAATGTCATGCACTATTATAACAAATCATCAGAAATTTAGTGGCTTAAACAATATCAATTTATTCTCTTTTTTTTTTTTTGGTACCGGGGATTGAACTTGGGTCCTTGGGCTTGCACAGCAGGTGGTGAAACCACTGAACTAAATCCCCGGCCCTTCAATTTATTCTCTTACAGTTCTAGAGGTCAGATGTTCTAACATCAAGGTGTTGACAGAGCTGCATTCCTTTTCAAAGTCCTGGAGTAGAATCTGTTTTCTTTCCTTTTCTAGCTTCTAGAAATCACTTGTATGACTTGCTTGTGGTCCTGTCCTGCTTTGTCAAAGGAAATACCACAGGACCCTATAAGAATATTAAAAGAAAAAAAAAAAAAGAAGAATATTAAAAGCTGTTGTGGTCAGCTATGATCCATTTCCACTAAGAAATGGATAATGAAGTTTAACTGTGGCGTTTAAAGTAGAAATTTAAAAAAATAAATAAACAAAAAATAAAGTAGAAATTTTGCCAACTCAGTATTATTCCCACTTAGGATAAAGAGTCAAGGAATGGATCCTACAGATTATAGTTTATAATGCAAAAACCATTCAGCTCTGAAGTCATTGATTTTTTTCAGGGACTGTCTTTATACAAACAACAGTATTGACTGCTTTGCAGATGTTTGTCATGATAAGATTGCATTCATTTATTGCACAATTGATTGGATTGCTTGATCAACCATTTTGTATAATTTTTGATGCTAAAAATTCTGCTTCATAAGGTTTTATGACAGTTTGAAGAAAACAGCCCATCCTGTGGCTGATCTGGAGACCTTCATCTGCCAGAGGAACATCTCTTAGGGTTTAGATCTAAAATATCTCAGAGGCAAGGCTTTGGAAGGCGATTGGATCATGGAGGTGCTATATTCCTCTTGAATTTATCTGCTAAAGTGTTCAGCCCGGGTGTGTTGTTAAGGGGTGGGCGGGGCTAGAGGGAGTCTACTAGGGGCGTGGCCTGGAAGGATGTGTCTCCCTCTGCAGCTCCTCCCCTCTCTCTGCTTCCTGGCCATCATGACCTGAGCAGCTTCCTTCTGCCCAGGTCCTTCCACCAAGCTGCTTCTGTATTTGAGCCTGCCCACACTGACTGAAATTCGTGAAGGATTGCCTGGAGTTAGAGGCCAGCCTGAGCTGCACAGTGATTTCAAGGCAAGGCTGAAGTACAGACCTTGTCTCAAAAAACCAGACTGAGCAATGAAGACACACTAGGAGCTTCCTCCTTGCAGGAGATGCTCCCAGTGCCCTGAGATAATTAGACCGGGCCAGCCTGCAGACCCAGGGATGACCTCTCCCCGATTTCTAACCCTGGTGCTGTGACCTTGCGGTGCACTTTTCCTAGCAACCTGAGCTTTAGTGCCCTCTGGTGACAGGAATTGTCTCTTGTCTGAAGTCTGAAGATTGACATCCATCTAGTTATACCTGCTGCTGTATAGGATTTTCTGTTTATGCGGAAACTGAATTTCGTCCTTACAGTTAAGAAAAAATCTACTAAAATTGTATAATTAACAAGTCTTTAACGTTTCATAAGACATGTAACTTCTGAAATCTTCAGATGTTCTTTGGATTTCCTTTTTTTTTTTTTTGGTACCGGGGAACTCAGGTCCTTGTGCTTGCACAGCAGGCAGCGAAACCACTGAGCTAAATCCCTGGCCCTGGATTTCCTTTCGAATGTAAAGATTTTTTGTTTCTGTGAGACAGTAAATTTCAGGTTTTGCTTGTGACCACACTTTTCTCCTCAGACAGCCATGGTTTTTAATATCATTGATATCATTTGTCCCAGTGGCTGCTGACAATCACTGAAGACTTACAGAGCTTTCCAAGGCCCTTAAACCTTTATTGTGATCAGTAAAGGTTTGTTACTTGTTAATGAACCATATGCATAAAAGGATTGTGTGCCTGCTGTTTATAAATGAGAAGTTATGGGTTTGCCTAGCTGTCTGTAAACAGATTTGCTTTATCTCCTGTGCTTGTGAACTTGCTGATGCTAAGCCACACAGTCTTCCAATTCCATGTGAGTTGCTTGGCCAGACTGTTCTACATTGCAACACAGACTGGGGTAGCCTCGCTCCCAAAACGTGTTTTTCAAGTATCATTGGAAGGTGCCTTGAAAGAAGCGAGTGAATACCATTTTATTCTCACTGATTACATAATCATTTTAGGGTTAATTTACCATAACTTCTGATTTATCTTCAAAGATCAAGTTGGTCTGGGAACATTTTAGCCTGAGTATTTCCTGGCTCCAACCATTTTGTCAAATAAACAAACTGCTTTTTACAGAAAGTCAACGCTGGTTTCTTTTCCAAATCAAAGAATTCTTTTACCATGTAAACAACCACCCTCTGATTTTATTTGTCTTTGATAGGTCTCCCACCACCTCAGCAGCTATTATGTATAGTAGCTGCCCTCTTCCTATGGTGCCTTGCCCCTTCCCCTGTGTGACATCATGCCAAGATGGTTGTTACCACCAAAGAATAAACCCTTCTTCCCAGCATGCCCCTGTTCCCACCTAGAGAGTAACCTAATACTCACCTCCTACCACCTAGTGACATCACCGGCTCCTCCATTCCCTAGTCACT